TCGCCGGTTGCTTCGGTTTCATCGTTTTTTTCTTATTTGTTTTTTTTCCTGGGCTTTTTTTCGTTTGTCTGTTTTTTTCGTATTTTTTCCTTCCTTTGACCCCTTTTTCTAGTTTTTCCCATTCAGTTCGTCGTTCTTTTTCTTCTTTCTGTTTCTTTCTCTCTCTCTCTCTCCCCCCCCCTATTTCCCTCTTTCTTTCTCGCTTTCTATCTACCTATCTCATCTGTCTATCACTTTCTGCGTTCTCTTAATCCATCTATCTGTCTATCTATCTCTATCTCTGTCTCTCTCTATCTGCAAATATTTTTGTCTACATATCTATTTATCTCTTCCTCTATTATCTCTCTCTCTCCACCCCCCCCCCTCTCTCTTTCCCTCTCTCTTTCTCTCTCTCTCTCCCTCTCTCTTTCCCTCTCTCTTTCTCTCTCTCTCTCTCTCTCTCTCTCTATCTATCTATCTATCTATCTATCTATTTTTCCCTCCCTCCCTTTCTCTTTCCCTCTCTCTTTTTCTCTATCTCTCTCTCTCATTCTCTCCCTCCCTCCTCCTCCCCCCCCTCTCTCTCTGTCTATCTTCCCTCACCCTTTACTTCCTGTCCCTCGCCCCTCTGAAGCCACATTTTCAGCCTCGGAGTATGAAGAACCAGACCCCTTTCTCCCATTTTTCCCACTCGCTTACTCAGTCAAAGACACAGAAGCTCTAGTCTCTGTTTCACATTCTCTTTTGCCCAGGAAAAAAACGACAGATTTTTTTTTCTTTCTTTCTTTCTGTCTCTCTGTTTTTTTCTACCATTTTTTTCATTCTTGTCTCACTGTCTCTATCTCTATCTCGCTTTCTCTCTCTCTCTCTCTCTCTCTCTCTCTCTCTCTCTCTCTCTCTCTCTCTCTCTCTTCTCTCGTCCTCTCTCTCTCTCCTCTCTCTCTCCTCTCTCTCTCTCTCTATCTATCTATCTATCTATCTCTCACTCACTCACTCACTATCTATCTCGCCATCTCTCTATGTATATCTGTCTTTCTATCAATCTATCTCTTCCTCTCCCACTTTCCTTCCCTTTCTCTTCGACATTCCAGTAATCAAAAGCCTTACGTCAAAAAAGTTGTTCCTTTAAAACCTTTTTTTTTTTTGGGGGGGGGGAAGGTAAAATGAAACAAAAGTGTGTGTAAGGGGGGGGGAGGAGTTGAGAAAAGGGGGAATGAAGCAGGAAAAAGAGAGGAGATCGATTGAAATACTGATTACTGTTATCATTATCCTTATCATTATACTGTTTGCCTTTGTCTACGTGTCTCTTTCTTTCTTTGTTTCTTTCTCATTTTATTTATTTATTTTTCTTTCTCTCTCTATCTCTCTCTTTTCTTTTCTTTTCATTTTTTCTGTTCTTTTTACTTTTTTCTCCTTCTTTCGTAACTTATTGATGATAATGGTATTATTATTGTTAGTTTCATCATCCTTATAAGAGTTATCATCACCATGATCCTTATCATCATCACCATCATCATCATCACTATCATCGCCATCATCGTTATCACCATCCCCATCATACGATCATCATCACATCATCATTATTACAGTCCTTAGTTATCTATCTTATCATTATCCTTCTCATCATTATCATTATCACAATCATCACCATCATCATCAACATCATCCTCATCTCCATCTTCATCTTCATTTCGTCTTCATCATCGTCACCATTACCGTCATCTTTATCATCATCATCATCATCATCATCTACATCTTCAATCATCGTCCTCATCATTCTCTTTATCGTCATATCCATCACCATCGTTAGTTTCATTATGCATCACCATTTCTCGCTCTCTCTCTTCTATGCTAATCGCATCTCTCCTTTCTCTCTCTCTCTTTCTCGCTCTCTCTTAATCGCGCATCTTCTCGTCTCTCATGCCTCCGTCTCTCCCTCTCTCTCTCTCTCTCATCGTCGTCTCTCTCTCTCTCTCTCTCTCTCTCTCTCTCTCTCTCTCTCTCTCTTTCTCGCTCCTGCGTCTCTTAATTCGCCATTCTCTCTCTCTCTCTCTTAATCGCCATCTCTCTTACTCTCTCTCTTATCGCGCCATCTCTCTCTCCTCTCTCTCTCTCATCTC